TAAATTCCCCAAGTTTGATCGCTTAATGAAACTCCCGAAAAACTGGACAGTTTGGAAGTTGTGAGCCAGTGAACATTCGACGACTCTTCCCATGCTCATCAAACGCAAAGCTGCTGATAAATCCGCAAACCGCGCAGCTGGCGGGAGTTTTTGGGTAATTTGCCAAAACTCACAACTCCAGAGTTTCGGGAGTTCACCAGCTCCATGCTGCTCGACTCCAACTCCCAAATTCAGGGCCATCTTCAACTCGCCTTTTCACAGAATCTTTCATCAACTCTCCAGGTTGTTCATCCAAACCAACTGAACTTCCACCCACCGCAAACTCCTCTGCAGCCAACTTCAACAGCCCGTTGGACTATCGGCCTAAACTCCCACTGAATTTTCAACACTTTTTCCCGAAAAAGCCGGCGTTGTTGGCAGCGACAGCGCAAAAGGGCTGCAATAATCGAAACAATATTCCCGGAAACTCCCCCAACTCCCGGAGCGGAAACAAGCGCCCATTCGGGGAAATTGGATCTTGATCAAATGCCGACTTATTTTTGTCGTGCGCCCCCGTCCAATTATCGGGCGAAATAATGATCCCGAAACCCCCGAAGGCCAGAACGATGCCAATATTGGGCCAATCGGGACGCTAGAAAGCAACAGGACGATCACTTACCTTGCTTTGTCGGTCCCTGCTGCCACCGTAGCTCCCTCTATCGCCCTGTCCTCTCTGCAAAAAAACACGCATATTCAGTGAAGAAAAAACGCACGCCAGCCGACAAAACACACGCATATATGGAGGGATGAAAAAGCCATTTTTCCGGGAAAAATTCCAGAGGATTTTCTCAAGAAACCCAAAGGGCCACTCAATCAGGGCGGGGGTTTTAACACGGATTTCCACTTCAAACTGTGCCAGTGACCGTCCAGACGATGGCAGGCTGGAAAAGTGGCGTTAAACTTTTCTTTGAAAATATCGAGCACAATAGAGCCGCTCACAAAGAGGCGCTCTGTATGTGAGCGGGGAAAAAGCCGCGAATCTAAGTAGGCTGCTCGTACAGCCCGGACAAAAGACTGTGCCGTTTGTCCATTGTTCAGTCCAGGTCCTCCCTTGTTTTCTTGGTTTTGTCCCATGGATGTTTTGGGGCCAGTTGGGCAGTTTTCCATTAAATTAAGTGGATGAACTGCAGCTGCATGATGGCCTTTTGCTGACAGGAGGGATGATAATTTATTTCTCCCAACCCAAACCAGATGGCGCCTTGGGGGTTGCAGCTCTAGATAGAGCATGGCGTGGGCTTGCTTGGTGATTTTTTGCAACGTTGGGGGTAAATTGGCTGATTTTTGACGTCACTTTGAACTCGAGCCCCCATTTCGAAACGCCCATAAGCTGGAGAGCTGGATTTGGCAACGATTTGCGTCAAGACCAAACGCGATAGAGACCTGGGGATTTTTGCTCTGGATAGAGTCGGGTCTGCTGCATATCTGCAGAGTTCGACAGATTTTGGTCGGGACCCGTTGATTTTGTAGCGCAGCCTAAGCAGGTGCTGTCCAACTAAAGTCTAAAAATTTGTTTGGTTAAGGACACGTTTGGCATTTATTTTCTCTGCAGCCAACCACGATACGCCGATATGGAGGCCAGATCGGGACAGAGGAGATCCCAGTGCTAAACGGGAGAATTTTTGCAAAAGCCCACTTGATTTTTGGGACTTTTTATGCTAAATTGAATCTGGGATCCCAGTGAGAAAGTCTGCAATGTGTGCAAGATGCTTCGAGAATTGATTTCTCTGGAACCAAACTGGACCGGGAAAAAATTCTTCTCGTCCAGGATAGAGGACAGCCGGGACTTCATATGTGAATTTTTCCGAATTAAAATCGAAAAATTTTGAAATTTTCGTTTTTGGAGCTCCGGCGTCTGTGTGCTAGCAGAAGCTCGTCAATTAATTTCTCAGAAACCTGACCAGGCACAGAAATTTGGATTGCAGCTCTGCTTAACCAAGAGTTTCTGTAGTTTAGAGCGCAGCTCAGAAATTTTGAGTTCCGGCCTTTAAATTGTCACGGTGAATTAAATGAGGCCGGAAGAACAAAAGTCTGTCAGTCTGCTAAAGACTCATTGAGCAATTAATTGCTCAGCAACCCGATGAGGTGGGGAAATTCGGCTTACAGTGTTGCATAGAGATCGTCTTGGGCTCGATGAGGAATTTTTTTGACGGCCTCAACTGTCATTTCTGATTTTTCAGTTAAAATAGAATTTGTCTGCTTCCTCACAAAATTCTCAGTTCATTGAGACAGAGTCGGTAATTAATTTCTCTTTGAATGCAACCAGCTGGATTTTAACTGGCTTCCGGTCTGCGTCCAGAGATCTTTTGGGGATTAATGAGAAATTTCTCAGTTCCAAACGAGAGGGTTTGGAATTTTTTTCTTCAAATGCAACGTGCGCTAACGCAAACAAGTTTCTTTGTGGGCTGAGGCAAATTGGAAAATTATTTCCTCCGAGCTCAGAGAATCCTCAGAAATTCTGAGCACTGTCCTTGAAAGAGCCACTCTGCTCCCTTCTGTCCAAAATTTTTGAAGACGGAGAAAAATTTTGCTGATTTTTAAGCTGATGTTGAACTTACGAACTGTTATCCAAAGTGTGTTCGACTGTAGCAGCCTGCCAGGCGATTAATTTTTCAGAGACTAAACGAGATAGAAAAATGGCGATTTTAGCTCTACATAGAGAAACTGTTTCTCATGTGGTCTGGCCTTTTCAACCGCAGGCGATAATTTGCTGATTTTTTGCTCAGTATTCTGAATTATTGCGTCACAATCAACTGAAGTTGTTTTGCCAAAGTTGCAATGTGAATCAGGGCAAGTTTTGCAATTAATTTCTCAGAAATGACGCAAGATGTCAAAGTTCTTTGTTTCTCACTGGATAACGAAAAGTTGTTTTTCAAAGTGAGGATTTTTGCAAAGGCAACAAAGTGTCGGTTAAATTTTGGTTGAAGTTTGAATTTGAATCGATAGCAAAATTTGTATTTCTGTAAAGGCAAGTTTGAAAATTTATTTCTCAGAAACCAACCGATATCTTGATATTTTAATTCCAGTTTTTGATAGAGCCAACAAAGCTCTTTCTGAATTAGGTTTGGAAATGAACGAAAACAAATTTTCATTTTTGTCTCCAGTTTGAAGTTGCGCCCAATTCAAAGAAAAATAATTCTGAGAAACAACCCGTTGAGATAGAGATTCAGGCGTTTTGGCCTAAGAAACAGAAGGATTCAGGCCTCCTTCGAAAATTTTTTCAGTTGAAAAACTAAGTTTTCTGAATTTTGGCGTCCAAGTCAAATTGTGTTGTTAGACGAAAGCTCAAATGGGCGTCTTGTCAGGTTAGAAAATTTATTTCTCGTAAACGATACAAG